CAGTCTAAACATTATCTGAAGGTAGACCTTGGTTGCCCGTAAATTCAAAAAGTGATCTCGGGCTGAAAAAGGTTGGTGGCCACTGCCCTTGATAGTGTGGAGATCCAGACCTATCTCATTTGTAGTGAGAGACTGTTCTCAAACATAAACAAAAACACACACACACACACCCCACATCCCCAACAAATTTAATGAAAAAAACATGCAGTATTTGCTACAAAATACCCTGAAGTGATCCACGGAAAAAAAGCCTGCAAGGAGCTGCAGCAAAAAATGAATGCTGAACAAAATAGCCTGCTGGCATGGTCAAAAAAAGGTGGGAGCTTAAACTCCACAAGTTTTAAAGGCTCATACAGCATTATTTGAGGGGAAGCCTTTCATTGACAGGCATTATGTGAAGAGATGCATGCTAAAACTTGGACATGAACTACTTGACAAGTTGAAAAACAAGGACAAAAACTTACACAAAATTCAAGACATGACATTATCGGCAAAATCAGTTCACGAGAGAACTGTGAAAATGGCCCATCAAATTGACAAGGAACAAATGCAAAATTTTAGTACAGCTTCTTATTCTTTCTTTGCTTTGGACAAGGCAAGTGATATATGTGACGTTATTCAGTTGTGTATTCTGGGGCGATATATTTGTGGAAATGCTGTGCACAAAGAAATGATTGAGATATTACCAATGAAAAATCAAACAAGGAGTAGAAGCATCCTTAAAACTATGGACAACTTTGTAAACAAGAGAAATACAGTTGGATAATCTTGTGTCTGTCTGTATGGATGATGTACCTAAAATGGTTGGCAAATATAGGGGATTCTTCAATCTTGTCAGAACAGCTGAACCACCCACTTTTGAACTTTCATTGCATTATGCATCAGGAGGCACTTTGTGCGCAATCTTGTGGAACAGAATTCGGAAATGTAATGGGACTGGTCATTTGCACTGTCAATTGGATTCTTGCCCAAGCCCTTATTTGCCATCTATTTCAGTCACTGCCTAAAGGAGTCAATTCTGAATATCCTGATCTGCTAATGCACAATGTTTGCTGGTTGTCTCGTGGCAAAATTTTGTCTCATTTTGCTGCCTACATTAATGAGATTAAGTCATTTTTGGATATGAAGTGGGTCAAACACATTGAGCTTTCAGACTGTGACTGTTTTGCTCAAGTTTTACTATCTCGTCGACATTACCGGTCATTTGAATGTGTTGAACCTTAACCTACGAGGGCAAGAAAATACAGTCCTGATTCTGCAGGAGGCAGTGTTCGGATTTGAGTCCAAACTGTCTCAATCAAAGAGATCGAGATGGGCAGAATGGCACGTTTTGAAAGATTACAAATGTTTCATGATTCATATCAGAGACAGAATCCAAATAACAGCCTTGATTTGCAGCAGCATGCTGGATTTGTTTCTGAGCTCCTGATGGCATTGTCTTGTTTTGTTGACTTTTGCAAACACAGTCCTCTCTAAGTTTGATTTGTGCACATAAAGCGTCTGATCGAGAACTGGATTTGACAGTCATCTCAGTCAGTGATATGGAAATAGCAGATTTGAAGGAGTCAGATATCAGGGTGGAAAAATTCGTCAAGCTAAATTCTGATTTAGAATGCCTTACTTGACAATGTGCAGAATTGACAAACTGCACAAAAGGGCTGACACAAAGAAATTGGAGCACGATGGTAATCTGATTCTGCAGTCTTGGAAAGAACTTCCTGTCACATACAACACCATGCAGAATGTCAGCTGAGTCTTACTTTCAACATTTGGCTCCACCTATGTCTGAGCAGGCTTTCTCTCATTTGAATCACATCAAAGGTAATTTGTGCTCAAGACTGTGTGCCTGAAGCTGAATTTGACCAGTTACGATGTAAACTTCAAAAAAAGTATGAGAAGGTGCAGCAAGCAGAAGTCCTATTAAATAAAGTCCTTAAGTACAATGTTTCATTTATGCTATTGTTAATCATCATGTCAATTATTAGTAATTATGAGTTGTATATATTCAGTCATTCGAAAGGGCATTCTTGTACTGGCTCT